AGGTGTTCCTTCCAGGGTAATTCCAGAAGTAACACCTGTATTCATTGCCTTAGAGGAACACCTGTATTCATTATTTTGGAGGAACACCTGTATTCATTATCTTGGAGGAACACATGTACTCATTACCTTCGATGAACACCTGTAGTCATTACTTTGGAGGGACACATGTCGTCATTATCTTGGAGGAACACCTGTATTCATTATCTTTAAGGAATACCTGTAGTCATTACCTTGGGAGGAACACCTGAATTCATCACATATTCTCATATTATTTTATCTACAAAATAACCCACTCTGTGAATGTTTCCTAATGACGTTCAGTAGTATGTAACCTAGAGGCTAAGCAAATATGTGACATAAATAAACACATCAATACAATGTCAGAACTTGTGCTGGTGCAAATTATCAAAGCCAGAGTGTCCTAGTTGGTTATTTGATTCAAACATTTAAAAAGCTGCTTTGGCCATTGGTTGAGAATTGTATGGGCAAATCAAGTTAGAATTTGAAAACCAACATGATACTGATTTCACTGTCAAATATGGTTTATTTGAATTCAGTTCTTGCATTCGGTATGTGAACTGCACTAGCCACGTATGGTATGGTGATGAGTTTTGTGCAGACATTGAGCCATATCGTAAATCTATAAGATGTCTCTATTTAAATGCTTGAGAGAATGCAAAAATAAATCCCGTTCTTGGGCAGACCTATAAGGTATATGGTTTTGTCCTGAAGAAGGTGCTCCATAAAGAGTGAATTAAGGGGTTCATGGGCACTCGCAGTCCCAAAAATGTTTTTGTATTTTTATAAAACATTGGGTTTTCACTGTTATAACCACTTTACTAGTGTCTGTCAAATTTGCACAAGTTGAGTGATTATGCAAATCATTGGTTAAGTTGGGTGAATGGATACAGAATGTTATCACCTGTTAGGCAGCAATAACACCTTACTTTAGAGACTCAATGACGCTCAATCTCGTGCTTTCTTTTGAATTGATTGTATATATGACTTGAGAAGCTAACTATTTGTAATAGAAAATAATTTTAGGATATCGTTATGAGCACTTTTTATCTCTTATGAATACATGGTTTTAGTATTAATCGTTCGGTTAATAATCAACTTATTTGATGATAATTTATTTTTGGAGTGCCATATTTTATATATATGACATTAAAAAACCACCTCCCTTATAATAATAATAATAATAACTTTATTACACAACTGCACCATCGATGGGTGCTGTATAGTAAGGATACAGATCATAAAAAACAAACACAAATAAAAAAAAAGTTTAAAAATTACAAACAAAACAAACTAAAGGGTATATATAAATACGTATCACAATTAAGTTTTATAAATTGTGTTTTTTAAGTATTTTGCAAGTGCAGTACTACTATTTATAATGCAAGTGAATATTACATTTCGGTTAGCTGTATTACACATTTGTTATTTACAGTCTTCTAAGAGGGTATTTCTTTTTTGAGTGAAGAAGCAACAGTCAAGGATGAAATCAAGTTCTTCATCTTCTAGAGTACCTGTGTTGCATTTTTTACACAATCTTGTAGTTTGCCTCAATTCTTGGAAATTTTCTCCTGCCTGATTCTATTATGGTAACTAAGTCGAAACTTGGTAACCATTCTTCTCAAATTGAAGTCCCGAATTTCTGTTAAATATCCTTCAAATTCATATTCCATTTTAAACAAATTATACGTTCTTAGTTTGTTTCCTGAATTTCCGTTTTTTTGGGACATGACTAAGTTGGTGATACCAGGTTTGTATATATTTATTTTTTTATTTTTCTTTCAACAATCTTGTTAATTCAGTGATGAGTCAGCATGTCCAAGAATTGTTTTAACATGTTTTATCCAGCTTGAGTTTGAAGACACTGTTTCTTTAAGTGCATTTTTTAGAATATAATTTTCAGGTAAGAAAGACAATCTGTGCCAATATTTAATTAGTGAGAAAGTTGCCTTAATCCTTATAGGAATTCTACCAATTTCGCCTCTTATACCAATCAATGGTGTTACTTTACTAACACCTAAAATAAACCGGTAAAAGTGGTTGCATTATAACATTAGGATGTAACCCGAAATGTCTCCTCAAATTGGTTTTCCGCTTTCCTGCGTGAGTGACCACAGCTTCTCCATTATATGGTTTAGTTAGAGATACGGTGATTTAACATACCTACATGGTATTGGTAAATCAGTCGTCAAATCACTAGAGATTTCCAAATAGAAATAAATAATGTTCACTCAAAATTAACGTTGGGGTTAAGGCTATAGATCCATTTATAATGTACGATATTAGACTACAAAAATCATCCACTAGACGCGATCGTATAAATATAACATAGTAGTCACTCGATCGGCAAGTGTTCGAAAATTGAGAAAACGGACACAATGGGTGTACTTACATCGGATTATGTCAGGGTACAGTCACTTGTATGCGCCTTGATTTTATATAACTCCGTCATCATCAACCATGTACGTTAGAAACATAGACGCCTGTGTTGTGTTGTGAATAGAATAGAATAGAATAGAATAGAATAGAATA